CACCAAATAATACTTTCCTGTAAGGTGTTGAACCTTGAGTTCCACATTCTAAAAAAATACAAAAAATATTTCGCGGCACAACATACCTTGAGGAGGATGGGGAAAGCTATAATGAGGATTCTGTGTTGCACTCTTGAAAATCCTACTATCATGGGCACTACCCTCCCAACCAGGCATGATAAATGTGAAACACATATTAAAGTCGCAAACTGCCATGACATTTTGCGTTGTGGTTCCACTACGTCCGATAAATGCAACTTTCTCGTCATTTGAAATCTGTGCATCAACATGTGTTTCATCTATCGCACTGATGCAATCTTAAACATGTAGCTTTAGTAATTAATTAATTAATGTCCTACATTCATTTTAAACTTCATTAATATAAGATTAAATCAGTACCTTAAAGAATGGTGTAGCGTCGATCTTGGCGAATCTCTGCAGGAGTTTGTGAAAACGTTGGATCTAATGGCTTTATGACTTGTTTTGCGAGGCTCACCAAAGCACTCAAACCCACTGAGAAGTACCTGCTAATCGTCTTTGATGAGTGCTGGAATCGTTCCATCGCACCACGCATTGACTCATTCTGTGATAATATATAAAGAGTAATCGCTAACACCTTACGGTCAGTCATTCTCATAGACCCATGGAGGCCATGAGATCCTACGAGTTCTGCTAAAAGATCTGTAAAAACTTCTTGTGTCATGCGGAACAAGTTGTGAAATCTTGTGGGATGCCCGACAAGCATTTCCGCTACTCATTTGTCTCCAAATTGTGATGATGTGTAACAGGGGGAACGAGCGATGTATATGTTGTAGTACTCTACGAGCAAGCTGATAGCTCGTTTCTCCTTCTACGACGTACTTGGTTTGGGTCCATAATGATTTATACTTGATATATTTTGACAAAAAAAATAAATTATTAAACTAATCATCATTAGGAACAGACCTATATAATTTAACATGTGACAAGTAATAACGCAAGCATTCAGTGTAGATGAGAGGTACGAAATTCTAAGGAACGTTTATCAACGGATAAGATTTATGCAGTTTTCATGAAGACAGTTATATGTAAAATACAAAATAAACTGAAAAGTCTCAATGAACAACAGTTCAAATAACCATGTCTTCTCATAAACTGTTCAAATAAGGACATAGCAACTAAAAAAGTCCATTCAAAATTTCTTGCGCTCATAAAAATTTTGTAGATACGACACCCTTCGCTCTTTGGCAATTGCTGTGAAAAAATCTCTCTGCACCGAATCTTGAAGCAGCTCAACAGCAAAGTAGTATAGCTCATTATCCGCTGCAATACTCGGATCCTGCTCTAGAATAGCCACGACCTCATTAATTGATGTTTTCTGCACTTTATGGGGGGCATCATTGGAAGAATCCATTAGGCATGATATCTGGTTTCTGATAGTCGCAGCTCCACCCTTTTTTTTACTCTCGAACCTAGATCGCTTAGGGCGGTTCGTAGATTGAATCTCAGTGGGACCTGGACTTGGGAATTCAGGTGAATCATCTGATAAGCTGACAGCAACATTGTCCTGTGTTTCACCAAATCCCATCTCGCTTGGAGCGCATGCATATTTCCCTGTGGCAACGACACCCCCGAACATTAGGTCTAACTTCTCCTCCAAATCAGGTTCAATCCCACAAGTTTTATACTTTTTAGCTGCCGGCACCACCTGGAACAAAAAACCCAAATCATTTTGTTCAGTCCTGAAAGAGAATTATATTATACAAATTATGAAAAATAAAATTTACTTACCACGAGCCTTTCTGCCCACCACTCTTTCGAAACATCAATGGTTCGCTTTATTGGATCCCAACCTAAACCAGTTGAACCACGCTTTAAATCCTTCCAAA